ACCTTTGCATGGGTCCCATCTCATTGCTCGATTCCGGGCAATAATGAGATGGCTGACTCACTTGCTAAGGTGGGCGCTATGGATGGCGATATTTACGATCGACAAATCGCCTACGATGAATTTTTCTTCATTTATCGTCAACAGTCACTCGTCAGCTGGCAGAATAAGTGGAGTGAAGGGAGTTTGGCACGATGGCTGTATTCGATCATCCCTATGGTGTCGAAGAGTCCTTGGTTCAAGGGGTTGGATGTGGGTCGAGACTTCATTCGTATGATGTCTCGCCTCATGTCCAATCACAATTCGTTAAACGCTCACTTGTTCCGTGTTGGGCTGGGGGACAGCAATCTCTGTGAATGTGGACAAGGTTACAAGGACGCAGATCACATTATTTGGTCTTGTGCTGAGCATCGCGAAGTCAGATCTGAACTGTACGATTCTCTTCGGGCTCGAGGTAGACAACCTAGTGTTCCAGTTCGGGATATTTTGGCTAGACGCGATCTGGAGTTTATGAAACTCATATATGTTTACTTTAAGAATATTAACATTGGATTGTAAGTTTGATTAACCTTGTGTTTAGTTTGTATTTTGTACGTGTGGGTTTTTTTTATGTTTGTTTTCAAGATGAATAGAAATTAGTTCATGTTTTAGGATTAATTAAATATTTGTATCGTAAACCACATTTCAAACCTCCCACCTCCCTCTCTCTTTTCCCATCCAAAAAAATTGTAAATCTCCACTAACCTCGAGACAACCGCGAGTATCCGATCCAGCTCCTTTAACTTTAAATATAAGACATCAATAATGTATAACGAAAATGAAAACTCGGCTCTGTAAAGTTAATTCGATTGAGCCTGTACAAATAAAGTAATTAATAAAAAAAACTATAATTTGAATCATTTGATGCGTTTAGATGATTTCTCAATTTAAAACAAACGGAAGATGAATATACGCGTATTTCCAGGCACAGTAGAACTTTAATTGACCACGTTTATTCCCTAATATCAATAACAACGATGAATTAGAAAAAATTGAACCGCTGGAGGAAATATTCGAAACAGGCTGTTTTGAATCTTGTTGAGAGGAGCGTGGATTTTCCCTTCGCAGCCGGTACCTTAGATGAATCTACAGCTGTTCTTAATAACGCTTTGAAAACGTGTACCAATCAACTAGTTGAGCAAAGGTTTGTTTCTTCTAAAAACTCGAACAGCTGGTACAATTTGGATCTTTTGCGTCTTAAAAAGGAACAAATGGTACAAAAAGTGTTGTTATAAGTATTCACAATCGACAAAGAAAACTCGCTGTGAATATGTTCAAAGGAAGATTGATCAGCATCAAAACAACAGCAAAGAATTATGGAAAAAAAAATAAATCTTTATCAAAACCTAGTAATTTCAAACCGCGGTCCATAACATTTAATGGCACTTTAGAACAGTCAGAACAAGTAATTGCATCTAAGTTTACTGATTATTTAGTCAACAGTGTCTCATTGATTAATCAATCCATTGAATTGGTCGATGAACCTGACGAAATAAAACTGCCAGTTAACAGTAATTGTAGATTTAAAGGTTTTCACCGAATTACATTAGATGAATTTAGAGTCATTTACTTTTCATTAGCAAACTCGGCTGCAGTAGACAATGTTAATGCTAGAGTTATTCAAGATTGCTTTCATGTCCATTGGCTACATCTTTCTGGACCTTACTAATGAATCATTGCAGAATGGACATGTGTCACAAATTTGGAAGGAATCCTCAGTGGTTCCTATTCAAAAAGCTGCTGGAACGATTAAAGCCGAAGAGTTTCGTCCTATCAAAATGTTGCACACATTAGAGAAAATCTTAGAACTTGTTGTCAAAGGCCAGCTATTTAAATAGAAATAGTTTGTTGATACCAAAACAATCGGGACATCGGGAAGGTTAAGGCCGGCGCACAATTGATACGTTTTCAGGTTTTTTGACAGTTAGCCCATGCATTATCTGTCAAAAACCCCGAAAACGTATGCATTGTGCGTCGGCCTTTATTATTGTGAAACCGCGTTGAATTTGGAATTAGCAAAGTGGAAAAAAAAACTTGACGTGTTTTCTTGGATCTTAAACGCGCTTTTGAAACAATTTCTAGGCCCTTATTGTTAAGATCAATCAAGCGCTTTGGAATTACGAGTACTGCATATAAATGGATTGAAAGCTATTTGTGTGACAGGACTCAACGAACTGTTTTTAAGGATTCTCGTGGGGAATATCCATGGAGTGCCCCAGGGAAATGTATTAGGGCCCCTGTTATTTATTATGTATATTAATGACTTGTGACGTGTATTACGATTTTGAGACATTAATCTGTTACATTACATTATTATTATTATTATTTAGCTTTATTAGGGAGGCTTTCAGCCTTGGGCTGGTTCGCCTCCAATCCTGTTACATTACATTATCATTACTGTGTTATTCATTGCAGCTAAGAATTTTGATGATGCCGTTTTACACTTGAATGAAGATTTGTGTTTTCTAAGTAGATGGTTGAAGTATAAGCAGTTGAAATTGAATACAAGTAAAACTATAGTTAAGGTAATTTCGCGGAATCGATTAAATGAGAACGTCTCTGTTGAATTTGATGATGAGACTATTGATCGCGTTTGGAACATTAAATATCTTGATGACAAACTAAAGTTCAACTCTGCGAATTCTTTATCGACTAAAAAACCAGTTAACTATTACCAGTAAAATTCAGCTATACAAATCAATCATCTCTCCGCATCTAGACTTTAACCCTTCCATTTTATTTCTGGCCAATGAAACACAAATATCGAGATTACAGTGCAAGCAGGATAAAATAATGCGTTTGATATTGTGATATAATAGATTCACTTCCTCAACTTTGATGCTAGACGCTTTAAAATGGTTGTCGGTGAAGCAAAGAATTGTATATTTGACTATGGTGTTCATTTTTAAAGTAGTTGACGATTTGGTGCCTAGATATTTGTGTGATCGAATTGAAAGAGGAAGTGACTTTCATAGATATAATACTAGAAACGCGATTGAAATAAGAACACCACATTGCTTGACTTGTACCTCACAAAATTCACAATATTATAAAGGAATAAATGTTTTCAATTCGATGCCTAGACATATCAAACGTTCAGCAACACTTGCAGAATTTGCATTTCACACATTAAAATTGTGTTTTGAACAGTTATCCAGTGATTTTTTTTTAAATAACTGACAAATTATGTCTTGACGAAGTTATCTTTAACGGATTATTTTGTATGGATAGCTGTCATAATGACTTTTCAATAATTATTTTAGCACTGCAAAAACTATTTTTATTCGCCACCGTGGTGATGATGGTTTTTTTAATATTTGATTTAATAGTAGTAGATAAATTAAAAAAAAAAGTAGTCAACAAAGGTATGAGCCTCGCGTGTGTATTACGGATATAGAAGACTGAATTTAAAATCTGATAAAAACAAATGCAATTTTAAAGCTTATTTGGAAGATGCCTTGAGTTAGTAATAAGTTTTATAGCAAATGTCGGGGATTCGTGAACATTTCAAACATTGCTGAAAATTATGATAGCATCAGATTGCGGGGGTTAGCGGCGCCGGTGGTGTAGTGGTAAGCGTGATTACCTCCCACTCTAGCATGCCTGGATTCAATCCCAGTCGGCGCTGCCAGGATGTTCTGAGGGATAACATCTCTGATCTCGCCTTCCTTCAGAAGGGAAGTAAAGACGTTGTTCCCCGGTTCATGAGCTAATGAGTCGATAAGTAGGGTCTAGGTTTGAGAATTGCCTCCGGCTTCGGTAGTATTGGTGCTCAGCCCAGAAAACAAGATCGACGGAAAACAAATCAAGGAGATTGCGGGGTTGATAGTGTAGTAGGATGCTTTGTTGATTATTAATTAACTCTTGATTGCTTGTAATACTTATGATTATTTTAGAAGTCGTCTTTAATTATCTTAAAGATAAATCGTCCAGTTCAAACCTTTGTAGAGGTATGAGATGGGACCATCGTCATCATCAGAAGTTTTTCCCGGGAAAGTGTCGGAAAATTTACTCAAACTATGACGCCGCCGCCGGCAGAAAATAACATATCACGCCGCCGCCAAAAATATTTTGATCGGCGCACAGGTCTAGACTTGGAACTGCTTCCAACCTGGATAATAAACAAATTCGCTAATAGTAATGAGTACGATTGGCAAAACTTAACAGTGCCCTACGTGCCGAAAAGTGTGCTATGCTGTGTTTGCAGAGTTGATTACCCCTTGTATTTTCTAAAGATATATCTTGAATATGAAATATTTAAATTAAAATAATGTTTGATTGGGGATTAATCATTGATCTGTCAATTTCAAAAGAAGAGAAACTTTCCCGAAGACAACACTAGTCAAAAATGCAAGATTCACGAGATAATGACGTTTGCCCGTCTTTCCACAGTTCTGGATCACTGTGTGGCGGTGTTCAAATACAGTACGCAGTGTCGTGTTGTGTTTGAACATGCCTGAATTGAAACTTAGACCAGCATTAGTGGAGCGATGCCACCTCGTTGATGATTTTGAAATTTGAATACTTTGTCCTCTTGAAGTTCTCAATATGTGAATAATATACGATGATAATTTATGAATATGGTTACTCATGACATTCTCAAGATCAGGAATATTACACTTACAGAGGGTCATTGCCACCTCGTTGATAATTTTGCAATTCTAATCCTTCGTTCTTATGAAGTTCACGATATGCAAATATTTGAAATATCGCCTACATGAGATCTTAAAATTCTTATGCTTCATCCTCATGATGTTCTTGACATTGTTATTTCAGGAATATCGACCATTGCCAAATCATTGATATTTTTGAAATTCTAATAATTCGTCCTTACGAAGTTCTCTTGCTTATCTAATGAAATGTCACCCTTATGTAGGATTTTTGTCAGACAGATAATTTCTAAATTCTATTGCTTCAGCCTGGTGAAGCTCTCGATATGCACATCTTTTGAAATTGCGACTTACCTGTTATTATTTTCCAATCACTCGTTCGTCAATGAACCTGCAGAGCAAAAATAAAAATTAATATCACGTCAAAGAGGATGCAGTACAAGCGCGGTGATAAGGTGATAAGAGAAGTAAGTGATGAATCGTTTACATCTAAAATACAGATATTTTTCTTTTCACAAAAAAAAACATCGATGCTACAACTGTGTTCGATAAAATAGCAGCGCATGCCGATTTTCATACAAAATGGTCAAACTTTGACATTATGTAACTTATGATCAATTGAGCTGAAACGTTCACCAAAGAACTACATATATGTTCAATTTTACGATTACAAAATATTAAATTTTTGGAAGCACCTGCCGGAAAGTGAGACACCAGGTAAAATTGTTCTAAATAATAGCAGTAGTAATAATTTTCATTTCAGCTTAGTTTTGAGATTTTAAATTTTGCATTTCTCAAAATTCTAACAATCCGCACCCAATTAAAAAATGTACATAATAGTTAAAAATGTAATCGTTATTGTGGTTGACTATGATATGATTTTGAAAAATATGCGTTTGAAATTAGTAAAATTAGTAAAATTGACAAATGAAAAATACTCGGTCTAGGAGTAGTACCAATTGAATAAGAGTATCCAATCTTTACTTTTCCATATTTGTGACTTTTTCCTGGAAAATCCAATCTTTACTTTTCCATATTTGTGACTTTTTCCTGGAAAAACCTATCGCTAAGATCTTGCACTTTTAACGAATAGTAAACTGAATTCAAATTTGTACTGCTTTCATTGACCGAGTAGTATAGTAAAAAAAGGCGTAGCCCAACGTAGAAAAAAGAAGAACAAACACAAAAATCGCAAAATGCCTACCTTCACTTATCTCAGCACGCTAGTATACAGCGTGTGGATGGTGGTGACGACGAACTTCGTAAGCTAATGATGGTGACGTGGCTGTGAACGGCTGCTTGAATTACCAACAAAACCTTGATCACTTTACTCACTATAAATGGATTGCTTGAACAAAAAATTGAACCAGCTTGGCCCAACGCTCGACTGAGAATGAATGTAACTAGTTGAAAAACGCAAATTAATATTAAACAGGCCTGATAAGCTAATCAATTGATATCAACAGCAAGCAGAAAGGCCAGATACGCTTATCAATTGATATTTGCACATCGAACGTGATACTTCGTACCTGCACGCAAGAGTGAACATTGAGGCTTGCTATATTGCAACAGAATAGGATCGGGCGATCTTGGATCGATCTTTGGAAGATCGATCTTTTTCATCCCGATTTCCGATTTTTCGGATCGATTCTTTGTCCACGAGAAGATCGAAAAAAATCAATTTTTTCTTTCGATCTTTTCGATCTTCAAATTAAAATAGGTGTTCATTTTGTAAGTGTATTTACAACGAAAAAACGATTTACTCTCACCCCAGACTGCGTAGTAAATTGAACGAACATAACATCAACATCAGCATCGCTCCCTATGTTATTAGCTGGATTACAATGACGTCACTATTTGCATTTCCAATATTTACGAATACAACAAGACCAAACCTTCAAGGTCTACCTTCCTCATGTGCTCATTGCTCCTTGCTGTCACATTTTGTCTACACGGATAATCATAATGATACATTTTGATTGATTAATCATTAATGATTTAAAACTACACAAAAATGATAAAAATTATTCTTCATTATGAGTTGTCCCGTTTTTCTCGATAATGATTAAACGTACATCATTAATGTATCATTCTGTTTCTCCGTGTACTTTGTTGACAACCGAACTGAATTGACACACACATTGATAGTGAGCAAGTGTGACGTTCATTTCCTCTTTGTTTTCGTTTGCTCGTTAGCTTGCACCGAGGGGGGCGACACATCTAAATCTCAATTTTAGATGCTCAAAAAATCTCACACTAGCGAATCAATCTTCGAAAAATCTTCTTGCATTTCTCGCGTCTACTTGCATCGGGCATCACCTTTTTGCAGGAAATCTTCAGAATCGTGATCAATCTTCTTTCTATCTACTCAGCGTGTGATCAGCTAGCCACAGCACAACACAATCTTTCCTGCAGCGTATAAATAGAGTCGTCCCCCTCGGCTTGCACGCATTTTATTCAAAGAAAAATTTCTGGCAGGTGATTTAATTGAATATTATAAAGGAATGAATGTATTAGGGTATCAATGTTAACAAGCGTATTAAAAAATATCAAAAGATCGATCTACCAAAGATCGATTCTTTGGTACCGATTTAATCAGTGGATCGATTCTAGAGCCAAATAAAAGATCGATCCGTCAAGATCGCTCTTTCTCTGAAGATCGCCCAATCCTACAACAGAAAGGGCAGACGAAATCGATTAACGCTTCTTATACGCCTTTAAGCCTACATACAAATACAATACAATACATACAAATCAGCGAATCCAAACACATAAAGCAACCAGCTGCGATCAATGCGGCGAGCTGCATGCAGATGGTCCTTGCCGGGCTACCCCAAAATGTGTTTACTGCAAGGATACTCTGCATGCTTTGGTTGATTGCCCGAAGTACAAACAGCAGGGAGAAAAACTTAAGCGGTCTTTGCAAGCTCGCTCCAAGAGGTCACTTGCAGAACTCTTAAAAAACACCGCTTCATCTTCCCAAACCACCCCAAAAACCAAAAACACATACTCCATTTTGCCAGATGATGATCAGGGCTCTGACTCAGAGGTTGGTGAAGGTAGTCCCTTTGTCTTTAAAGGCAACACGAGAAAGCGATTAAAAAAAAACGTCACTCAAAATCCGCGTAAGACCTCTCGTATGGACTTCCAACCTACCTTGACAAATTTAAGAGGTAGCGGAAATGTACCGAAACCCCCACCACCGGGATTTAAATCTTGTAATTTTAACAAGGACTTTCCGCCACTTCCGGGATCATCTAAAACCCCAAATATCCCAGTTTTTCAGCCAGAAAAACAGCTGAATAATCAGCAAGAACATGATGCCATGTTCACGTTTTCTGGAATTGTGGAGAGCTTCTTCAATATATTCAACGTCTCTGACTCAACTCGGAACATTATTAATTTAGTGCTTCCATTCGTGAAAACTCTTTTGAAGCAACTAGCTTCTAGGTGGTCCTTCCTTGCATTGATCATATCCTTTGATGGATAATTTTCCGAATGAGGTCGGGGATATGATCTCTGTTCTTCAGTGGAACTGTAGAAGTCTTATACCGAAACTTGACACATTCAAATTTTTAGTTCACAACTCACTTTGTGATGCATTTGAGCGGTTCCACGAACAAGTGGGAAATTTTTCCAGTTTTTATTTTTTGTATTTTTTGATTTGCATGAAACCTTGCATACAAGTTTTTGGGGAAGAAAAACGCCGTTTTGCATACTTGGTTCGCCATTTTGAATCTAGCCTTACTCATGAGAAGGGCCTATGAAAAATGCACATGATATCTTCAAAAAATTGTATCTCGGAAACGGTTTGTCCGATTGGTTTGGTGCCTTGGGCGAAGTTTTAGACAATTGTTGGTGTTATATGGAAGAAATATGCACGGTAGAAAAAAAAGTTTGGTATTTGTGTTTTGAACTAGAATATAAATTTTCCCTTTAAAGCGACATGTCAATATTTTTTTTATTATCCTTATGTTATAGCTGATTAAAAATGCTATCTAATGCACAGTAGGTTGTTCTGGAGAAAAATAGGTTACGATGAAAAAAAATGTTTTTTAAAAAAAATACAATTTTCAAAAAAGCTATTAAGAAAAGTCAAAAAAGTTTGTCACCCTAATTTTATGAAAGTACATCAAATTTGCAAACAAAAAGTACTTCGGTAACATTTTTCTAAGATGCACCGTTTAGAAGATATTACTGATTTAATATTGTTTTTTTTTTTGATAACTTAATAAGTTTTGGCCCTTTTCGGATGTACTCCGTATTTTTCCAGTTTCAAAAGTATTTTTTTCGGAAAGATTGGAAAATTTTGAGTTAAAATGACACTGACAGCTTAAAGATTCGAGTGAAATTCTCTGCCTTAAAAGTATTTTGAAAAACAAGTTACAAAATCCCACTATCATGAACAATGATTTCTTCAAATGATTTTTGGTGCGTTGTGCTGAAAACGTGCTAACAAGTATTAGATACAGGTAATCAGATACCAGTTAGCTGTACTACGTACAGTTGGTGATTGTAAACATGGTCTTTGTTGGAACTAGTCCACCATGGCCACGCTGGCCATAACGAGGCTAGCTCCGTCGTTGACCGTTCCTTAATAATAAATAAAAAGAACGGAGTAGTCACCTTCCATCAAACTAGAGGGCTGCTGACTGATACCTCAATCAACAACCGCCGCACTCTTTATTCATTCCAGGTATATACAATTTACAATCTTCTTCAATAACAATATACCTACGCCAGCAAATCTACCTCGCTCCAACTCTCCAAACTCGTACCTGAAGGTTCGACGATACCTGTGCGTTCAACTCTACCTATCTTACAACAGTCTTTACCCGGCATTCTATGATTTCTACCCGTGAGCTGTATAATAATGTCTGACTCGGTTCTGAATTCATCCAGTATCTACTAGGGAAAACCAAACAGTAAATGCAGAAAGGTTGCTAGTAGCATAGTGATTATAGTCATTTCAGCTCATAATCCTGTGTTTTTGAACGAGATCCAGTGTTGTTTGATAACATAATAATTGTAAAGGAAAGTGTAACACGTTTTGGTGCAAAGGTAAGTTTTAAATACACATTTTAATTATATGTTTTGTGATATTTTCGTACAAAACTAACAATTGGAAAATATTTTCTATGTTACAGATTACAAAATGAGTAAAATAAGATGTATTCGCCCATTCAAAGACATTAAGTGTTCGAAAGAGCTGCGATATCTCACGGATGGTATCATCCAAAAACTAAAATCAATTGGAGTTTCCAAGGTATCCACACTGAACACCAAGGATTTTCGTGTTTGTTCGTCTTGCCGTCTACATATTGATTCAAGAGCTCACCTCACCCAAAACGAGGAACAAAGCGTAGCCGGCGGCTCAAGGATGCCAACTGTTGAAAGTTTGGTCACGATACCATCAGAGTAAGTAAGGCTAGATTCAAAATGGCGAACCAAGTATGCAAAACGGCGTTTTTCTTCCCCAAAAACTTGTATGCAAGGTTTCATGCAAATCAAAAAAGATGAAAATTACTCGTTGCTTTAATGATATGGAACCGCTCATTTGCTCTTTGTGAAACATGGCTTTCTTCAGACACCGATCTCCCTTTCCACGATTTTAACATTATTCGCCTTGATCGAGCAGATTCGTATGGAGGGGTGCTTCTCGGGATTAATAAGCTCCATTCCTTTCATAGAATCGATCTGCCTTCCGTGACAGGCATTGAAGTTGTCGCATGTCAGGTAAATATTCGAGGTAAAAGCCTCAGTATTGCCTCAGTATATCTTCCTCCAAGAACTGCGATTTCTCGCCAAGGTCTCTCAGATATCTGCTCAGCTTTATCTGAGCCTCGGTTGATCTTAGGAGATTTTAACTCCCACGGTACAGGCTGGGGGGAACTGTACGATGACAACCGCTCAACCCTGATATACGACCTTTGCGATAACTTCAATATGACAATCGACTGGCAAAAATTCGCGTCCGCGGTTCTCGGTGGTACTGATTCGGTTGAGATACTCCCTCCGCTGGATGAGTACTCCTTTTTATCGCGACTTATCGTTGACTGCGCTCTTGAAGCACAGACGAAACGCGTTCCGGGTGTTTTCGTTCGCAAACGACCTCTCACTCCGTGGTGGGATAAGGATTGCACCGACGCGAACAGCGAGAAGTCCGCCGCGTTTAAACGCTTCCGCAAACACGGTAAGGTCGGGGATTTTGAGCGGTACACCGACCTCGAGAAAACTTTTAAGGGCTTGATTAAAGCCAAAAAACGCGGTTACTGGCGTCGGTTCGTCGATAGTTTGTCGAGAGAGACTTCCATGAGAACACTCTGGAATGTCGGCAGGAGAATACGAAACGCGTCATCACCGGTCAACGAAGACAAGGAGTACTCAGACAGTTGGATATTCAGCTTCGCGCAGAAAGTTTGCCCGGATTCGGTGTCGGTTCAAACCAACGTTCGTGA